TTTTATCATTACTTCTTACAACAGTTGGAGGTTTGCATCTTGTTGATTTTAGCAATGCACTGTCAGTTATATTCAGTGTCTGTACTGAGTTGATGGCTTCCAGAGCATGATAAGATGCTGCTTCATGTTGAATCTGGAAGATTTCACACTCTGTTGTAGCATCCTCCACATTCTTCATCGTGAGGGCTGATCTTGTCAACATGTCTGCAACACACATTTGCTTCCCTTCCTTGTATGTTACATCCAGATGATATTTCTGTAACCGGAGTAGTATTCTTTACAACATCCATTACAGTTTCTACTGCAGGAAGATCACCTTCATCTTATTTGTGTTGCTACTCCTCTGGAAATAGAGAAATACCAAATGACATATGCAACCATCTGATCACCTGAACAGTGGCTAGAATGTAATTATAAAACTACAGCTTTCATCCAGATTCACTTTCCAGTAACCATCTTTGCATCTAGGGTGGCGAAGAGTTTTGCTTTTGCAAGTCATGGCAAAATTCCTTTGATGGTTGGCATGGGGTAGTGAAATCATTTCAAAGTTTTATTTAGTTCCTTCGGGTTTACAACTCCCAGCCTTCCAGATTGTTTAACTATTACCATGCTGCTAATTATACCATACAAGTTGGCACACATTTGATTACTCCCTTCTTTTCTAACTCTTCTATCTCATCTTTGAAGCTGGCCATGAAGACAGCTGGAATTTCCTTATGCAGATGCTGAAATTGATTTACATTATGTACTTTGAGATGATATTCTCCAGGAAGACACCCTAACCCCAAAAACACATCATTGTGATTTACTAGGATCTGTTCCACAATCTGTGGTTTAACAATGAGACAAGTTGCAGATCTCTCCAGATGTTTGTTCTTGTCATTACACTTGGCTCATGGATGAATCTGTCCTCTCCGCATGAGTGTGATGCCTTCATACAGCCTTATTTTCAAAGGATTCATTTCGGATTGTGTGTTGAGGCACATCACGCAGGTCTGTGCAAGTCATGATATTGCATGATGCACTAGTGTCTAACTGACACTTCGTGCTGTCACGATGTTCTCCTTCACCATTCCAGAGTAACAAACCATTTATCACCTATCGACCTAACTGAACCAATCTGTTATATGGTCTCCAGTGATTCATCAGAATTTTTAGCTGTTATCACTGCAATGGTTATCTGAATCTGTTTTTTTTTAATTCATTCATGGGATGAGGGCGTCACTGGCTAGGCCAGCATTTATTGCCCATCCTTAATTGCCCAGAGGGCAGTTATGAGTCAACCACATTGCTATGGGTCTGGAGTCACATGTAGGCCAGACCAGGTAAGGATGGCAGTTTCCTTCCCTATAGGACATTAGTGAACCAGATTGGGTTTCTTTTTCTTGACAATTGGCAATGGATTCACAGTCATCATTGGATTCGTAATTCCGGATATTTATTGAATTCAAATTCCACTATCTGTCGTGGCAGGATTCAAACCCAGGTCCCCAGGGCATTATCTGGGTCTCTGGATTAACAGTCCAGTGGTAATACCGCTAGGCCATTGCCTCCTCTCATTTGTTGTGCTTCATTCTAGATATATACTTCTGCGTAAAATGGTTCAGTTACTTGCATTGTGAACACGGCTTCCTCCATGCTGGACATGCCTTTTTTACCTTTGTGTGATGAACTCTAAAGTATTTGCATCCTGTCTATTGTGTGTGATTGTTTTGTTCTTTAGGCCTGGAAAACCTATCAGTATAAGCAAAGGCCTGTTCTCTTCTGCCATGAATAAGCTGTATTTGCAGTTGTTTACTCTTTTTTTCTGCACATGTCGATCTCAACTCGCAGTAGACATGTTCTCATTGTGGGATCTCTTATGCCTAACATAATCTTGTTTTAATTAGTTGCACAAATTCACAAGAATCTGCAAGTTGTGGTAATGAATTCAGTTGTTTATCCATGGCTAAGTTAACACAGCATGGAGCTGGAGGAGCACAGTGGGCCAGGCAGCTTCAGAGGAGCAGGAAAGTTGACGTTTTGGGTCGGGACCCTTCTTCAGAAGCTGCCTGGCCGGCTGTGCTCCTCCACTCCACGCTGTGTTATCGCTGACTCCAGCATAGGCAGTTCTTACTATCTCTAAGTGAGTTTATCCATGTCCCTTTTTTTCAGCTTGAGCCCTAATTTTGAAAATGTGTTGCTCCTAAGCTATGCTCACTTGGAGTTTAAAGCATGCCTTTCAATATTTTCAAACTCTCTGCAGTTATTTTTTCCTGTTCTTCATAGAGATTTAGAGTGGACTACTCTCTTTGCAACTGTAATAAAATTGTAGCGAAACATAGCCGCTCTGGCTCATTAATCATATCTATTGCAATTTTTAGAAATGTTGCCATTGCATGTGGAATAATTTCAGTTCTGTTTCAAATCTTTATTTTCATTTCAGTTGAGCTGTAATGTTTCCTCTCCCAGTCCTTGTGTCTTATCCACTTTTTCAGCTGTGGCCTGGTTCTTTGCTTCTTTTCAGTAGTTTTTAATGGCAGCTTTCAGAGGTCCAAGTGTTCCTTTGTCTCTCTGCCAGTAGCCATGCTTCTACACAGCTCTTCATCACACAATCTCAGCTCCATTCCATCACCATGCTATTATTTCAATCCAACAGTATATTGTCTTTTATGTTTATTTATTGAAGTGACTGCAAGGCGGATCTAGCCAGTCAGTACCTCATGGTAATGGTCACATGACTACAGCAAACCAAGCAGTACAGTATTACCTTTCTATCCCATACATGAACCTCTTAGGAAGACGTGGATCTAACAGCATTTAGGGTGTAGAGGATCCTTCCAATAATTAAACCCAAAACAGCCTGAGAAGCTCGCCTCACCTTGCCTAATCTGTTAAAAAGCAGTGGCTAAATGAAAGAAAATCCTTGATATTCACTTAATAATCAACAAGTAATAATTTATTAATTTCACCCTAACAGTGAACAAATTAACAGAACTACTGATAAATTGAACAATTCCCTCTTAAATACTAACTATTCCCTATTTGAACAAGCATCAACCGGTATTCAGTTCCAACTTATATAAACCTAAGTAATAAGAAAACTAAGTTAAAACTTAGACACATCAAAGTCCATGCAGGGTGCATCTTCTGGAATTTTCTGCCTTCTCTGCTGTCTCTTCGTGGCGGTACTGACCTCCATAGTGCGACAGAAAGGAGTTGAACCCTTCTGATAATTAAACTGAAACACAAGCCATTAATCTGTTATGGCGGGAGTAGAGGTTCCCTTCTAACAATTAAACCCAAAACACCCAGAGAAGCTCGCCTCACTTTTATAATGTTAAAAAGTGTGGTTAAATGAAAATATTCACTTTATAAGTAACAAGTAACAATTTATTTATTTGACTGTAACAGTGAACAAATTAATAGAATTACCAACAAACCAAATAATTCCCCCTTAACTAGTAACTATTCCCTAATTGAACTAAATTCAACTGGCATGCTGTTCCAACAAACACAAGTCCCATCTATATAAACCCAAGTAATAAAAAAAACCTTAGTCTCTCAAAGTCTACATGCCTTAATTCTGCTGTTTGCAAGTCATAAACGTCTCTCTTCCATTTATCCTTCTGTCAGGGATGTTTTCTCGGTGAATTCTTCTGTGAGGACTTATAGCTAGAAGTGCCATGGTACCTTTTATGGATTGATAGTGCTTTCTCAGAGACCTCAGAGATTTCTGTGAGAGCTAGATGTTTATTCCTCAGATGGCGGTTTGCTCTCACCCTGATTTTCAAAAAAATCCCTCTTCTTATATACCCCTGATGACCTGTCAATTTTCTTATAATAGGATGTCTGAGCTTGTCAAAACCATCAGATTTAAATTCAATTGGTTTTCAATCTCTAAGTGTTTGCTTTAAATTAATTGGCTGATAATCAAGCTAGTTGTTAAAATATCAAAATTAGCCTAAGGTTTCCAATCGCACAGCCAATTGACACATGCTTCAATTTCAGAACTATCTGTACCTCTTCATTTCAGCACTTTGTTTAGCTAGGAGCAGAGCTTTAAGATGAGCTAGAACCAGAAGAGTAAATTATTTGAATAATTCTGGCATACCAATTTACTTGGAGTAGATCTGCAGCTCGGGTTGTGGGTGTTGGCTCGCCAAGCTGGTTTGTTGTTTTGCATTTACTTGAATTACACAGTTGTAGATACCAAGAAAATGATAAGAATAACTTTCTTTTTTACAAAGAAGAGGCATATTGCAAATCTTTTAATGATATCCACTGTAGTTTGTGACTTCTGATTTGGAACAATTTATTACTGAAAGCTGTTAATGTCATGAGTGAGTTTGAAATCCATCCCCAATCCTACTGTGGTCTTTGGGCATCCATTTTCACAAAATACACCACTGCCCTCCACCACCACCTGTCACAGGGCAGTCTGAGCATTGGGCAAACACCCTCGCTCTACTCCACACATAGGGCTCTTATTCTCCCCAGAGTACGGAGCAGTTCTTGTCATGCAGAAGGTAGCCTGGGCACATGACAACCTGACACACCTGGCACATTGGACCCTTCTCTTCTGCCCCTACAACACTCCGCAGAAGCTCCCAACAGGACAGCCCCTCCTCTTTGCTTCAGTACACAAGACATCCGTCTCCCCGCCTCACATTCCTATTCAGTCTCACCGAACAGCCTGTCTCTTCCACTTCCCCAAGGACAGACCCCCTGCCCCCACCCCCCAAACACTTCAGCCCAGCCCCTACTCGCAGATCAGGCTCATCCACCCCAGTCCCTCAGCCCCTGCACCCAAAGCCAGCCCCTCCGCCCACAGGAAAGACTCCTCCCACATCAGGACGTCATCTCTCCAGCCTCAGGGCAGCCCCTCCTCCCTCAGGAGGACCCCTATCAGGGCAGCACCTCCCCTCCCCCCCCCCTCAGAGGGGCCGCACCTTCCAGCCCCACCCCCCCGACTCACGACAGACTCCACCCCTGACAGCAGAACCCCGCCCCCTCCCCGCGACAGCTCCATCCGAGCGTTAACGGTAGGAATGGCTGCTTTGCGGCGATTGACGCGGCTGCAGCTCGTGAGCGGGGTCCCGCGGCGGCTGACCGCTTTCAGTAGTTCTGTCCGCTCGAGACGGCCCGCCGTGCTGGCGGCTGTCGGAGGCGCGGCGGTGGCTTCGTGTTGCTATTATTGTTACTACTACTACTACTATCCATCTTCGCTGGAGTCGGGGAGTGGGATCAGCCGGGAGGGGCGGTACAGGCTGGGCCTCCCCGGCGGGGATGTGTTCGCTCCGCTCTCTGTACCAACTGTAGAAGCCACGGGAAAGGCCAAGGTAGGTTTTCGCCGGGAGGGAGACTGGAGATGAGCCGCGGGTGCTCGTCGCAACCGCCGGCCTCAATTTAACATTTATCCGTAGACATCCCAACAGCAAGATCGACCAGAAAATTAACAAGTTTACTCATTTGTACTGATACTTGCTCCATTCTTGTATTGGTGTATATCCTGCCGGTTGAGGCGTTGCCCCTTTTTGCTTTCAGTTCAGTTCTGTCATTGTTGATCCTGTTATGTTGCTCAGCAACATCCCGGCTGCTGCCAATGGCCCGGATTTTCTGCAGTAATCCTGAAAAGATTGAAATAAGCGACGCGTTGAAGAGTAATTAAGACTGCATGTATGTCTGTCTGGACTGTTGTTTACCCCCCCCCCCCCCCCATTTATCTGACGAATTACTGATTCTTCAAGAGTTAAGAGGAAGAAGGCAGGAAAAGTGGAATTGAGGATTATCGGACCGGGGGTGATCATCACACTGAATAACGGAACAGACTCAATGGCCCAGAAGGCTTACTTCAGCTCTCTCGCTTGCGTCGCGAAACTCAGCAACATCGTATGTGGGAAGAAAGCGGAGTTACTGTTTCAGTCCGGTGACTTTTCAGCATCCTCAGTCACTTGCGTTGTACAATTGAATAAAATATGGCAATGTGTCTTTTGGGAAAAAGAAGCAAGGTTGTACAGGTAGTAGTTGAGGAGTGGGAGCAGGTCATAAAAAAATAACAAACGGAAACGGAGAAAGATTAAGGGCACAAATCGAGGACTAAGAGGCTGTGGCTAGAAAATGCAAGGAGATGTTATTTGGGGGTGGGGCAGATGGGAACTGCCTAGGGCTAATTTTTAAATTAACAATTAAACAGTTTTAGTGACGAATAGCACTGGTGAACCTAAAGGAAAGCACTGGGGGGAGAAAAAGTAGAAAATAACAAATTAAATATATATTGTTTTTAACATCCTTTGAAATTTAGAAGTGCTGCCCAGCTATTTACTTTTGAAATTGTTACAGGTACACAGAACCTTTTTCTTCAAGGCAGAGTGATACCAACGGTGTAGGTTCAATTCCTGTACTGGCTGTGGTAACCTTTAAAGAACTTTCCCTCTCAACATCTCTCTTTCCCTGAGGTGTATGACCCTCAAGTTGAACCACCACCATAGGTCTCTCTCTTTCTAATGAGAGAGTAGCTCAATGTCCTATAGGACTGTGGCGACTTTACACAGGTCCTACAAACAACGATACAATAAATAATCAGCTAACTTGTGTTGTTTGAAGTTATAAATATTGGCTGCACGGAAGTAAAATTCCTTTGCTTTCTCTGTAGTGCAGGTGGACAAGACAGTACCTCGGTGTGTATGTCCACTGGTCTGTTAAGGCAGCAAGACATATAGATAGAGGTTAAGGATGCATATGGGATACCTACCTTTATTAGCCAAGGCATAGAGTTTAAGAACAGAGAGGTTATGTTGGAACTATATTCAATGTTGCTTAGGCCACTGCTAGAATATTGCGTGCAGTTCTAGAATCCACATTTTGGAGGGATTTGATTACAATGGAGATGGTGTAGAGGAGATTATTCAGGATGTTGCCTGGGATGGAGAGTGTATGAAGACCGATTGGATAGACTGAGTTTGTTTTCCTTGGAGCAGGGAGGCTGAGAGGGGACGTGATTATAGGGTATTATCGGAAATAACTTTTCCCCTTGGTGGAGGGATTGTTGACTGGGGGAATTGATGTAAGGTGAAGGGCAGAAGGTTTACAGGAAATGTACAGAAAAACTTTCCCACCCAGAGGCTGGTGGGAATCTGGAACTCACTGCCTACGAGGGTGATAAAGGCAGAAACCCTCATAACATTTAAGCATTGACTTGTGCATTTGCAATGCTAAGGCATACAAGGCTATGGGCCAAGTGTTGCAAAATAGGATCAGAATAGTTTGGTGCTTATCTTTGACCGGCACAGATCCAGTGGGCCGAAGTGCCTTTTTCTGTGCTGTTGACCTCTATGACAATGATACAGGCTTAGAGTCATAGAATCCCTGCAGTGTGGAAACAGGTCGTTTGGCCCAACGGGTCCACACCGATCCTCCGAAGAGCATCCCACCTGCACCCATTCCACTACCCTATCCATGTAACCATGCATTTACCATGGCTAACCTATCTAGCCTGCACATCCCTGAACACTATGGGCAATTTAGCATGGCCAATTCACCTAACTTGCACATCTTTGGACTGTGGGAGGAAACTGGAGTACCCACGCAGACATGGAGAACGTGCAAACTCCACACGGGCAGTCGCCCGAGGGTGGAATGAAATCCTGGTGCTGTGAGGCGGCAGTGCTAACCACCAAGCCACCGTGCTGCCCTACTTAAATTCAGATTTTGCTATGCCAGACATGGGAAGATTCTGATCACTGCTTTACTTTAATATAAAAGTATAAGGCATATCAATTATACAATGTCCTGTATTGCTGCAGAGTTGACACATTTTATGGTTTTATAAACACCTATGATAGATCTTGTTTTGACGGGTTACACTTGTATTTCTAAGGATCAATGTCAGACATGGGTGATTCATCAGTTAAATAAGTGGATTGTAATTCAGAGTGGTGAAAACAGAAATCCATAACTATTTAACATCCAAAGTATTTGAAGCATATGAGTAAGGAGGTAATTGAGTAATTTTGAATCTGGTCTTTATTATCATGTGCCATACACAGCACATTGTGTAACACACCAGTAAGGTAATCCAGATCACAGGACTCTGCAGTTAATAATGTTGCTGTGTGATTGATATAACAGGAAATATGCAAGTTTTCAGATGCATCAAAATCTAAAGTTTAGGAACAGGAAATGCTAAATGCTGCAGCGAAGATGTCTCTCCCTCTGCCTTTTCATCATATCTGTTGTATCTTCTTTATTCCAGAAATCTACCCAGTTATCTTTTACAACTAAATGTATTGTCATTTTATTAACCTGTGGTTAAAAAAAAACTTGTGATTTATCTTATAAATAACATACACATTTTTAACCTGTTCCTAAATTTTTAACATTTTGTTCTGTTAATGAATTGCCTGGATTAAATTTATCAACCCCCTTTAAAATTTAAATTTGAATTGTATTACTTTGTAAACAGAATCAAATTCCTTGGTCCTGAGCATTCTTTTAACCCATAATAGCTGGATTTAATCTGTGTTGCTAACTTCTATATTTGGTCAAAGGTAGCCACACTATATGATGAGCAGAATGGTGTATGTATATTACTCGAGATGGGGTCACAGACTTCGGTGTTGTACTTGATACAATCACGTGGATTCTGTATTCCTTGCAACTAAAAGTATCCCTTTCAATCTAATATCTAGTTGTGTGACTTAAAAGGCCATAACACTTGCATCCATTCGTTGTGTGAGCTGGATTCTGTCGTTATGCACATACTATGACATATTTTTCTAAACTCTGGACTGATTAATATTAATGTGAGGCCAAATCTAAATTATCAAAAACTTTTATTTCATAAACATAAATGTCCTGAACTTGGAAAGTAACCTCACTGACTGTCCTGGGTCACTGATGCTTCATTGTCTCCAATTATAAGGCACTGTTTCAGCAGTTGCCTTGTCCATGTTTAGGCCGTATTTCCCTCAAAGCTGAGTGTAGCGGATCCAGGTTTAATTTGTAGTTTTCAGTCTTGACAAAGCTGTCAGAGGTCCCAACATAAACTAATCAGTAGGAATAGGTGACGACACCACCTCCACTATAATCCTCAACACCGGTGCCCTGCAAGTCTGTATCCTCAGCCCCCCATTATATTCCTTACACACTCACAACTGTGAGGCCACATTTCGCCCCAACTCCATTTACAAGTTTGCTGATACTACTGTTGTAGGTTGGATCTCAAACAACGACGAGACAGAATACTGGGAAGAGATTGAGTGCCTACTGACATGGCTTAAAGACAACAATCTCTCAAGTCAGCAAAAGGAAGGAACTGGTCGTTGACTTCAGAAAGTGGAGTGGAGGCCACACTCTTGTCTGCACCAATGGTGCTGAGGTAGAGATGGTTAAGAGTGTCAAGTTTGAGAGAGTGGTAATCATCAATCTGTCCTGGTCCACCCACGTCAACATGATGGTCAAGAAAGCATAACATCATCTCGACTTCCTCAGGAGGCTAAGGACATTTGTCATGAACAAAAGGACTCTTACTAATTTTTATACGTGCACATTGCATCCTATCTGGATACATCACAGCATGGTTTGGCAACTGCTGTTCCCAAGATCGTAAGAAACAGGAGAGTCATGAACACAGCCCAGGCCATCGCAAACCAGACTTCCATCCATTGACTCCATCTATACTGCCTGTTGCTTCGGGAAAGCAGCCAACATAATCAAATACCCCCTCCCATCCCAGTTATACTCTCTTCTACCTTTTTCCATCGAGCAGAAGATATAAAAGTTTTAAATACGTATATGAATAGATTCAAGAACAGCTGTTCCCTGCTGTTAATAGACTTTTGAATGGACCTTTCAAATGTTAATGTTGATAACTCTCACTCTGCACTTTCTCTGCAGCTATAACACCGTGTTCTGCTACCTTGTGGCACTTTGTGTGGTAAGTTTTTCTTATAGCACACAACTTTTCAGTGTGTCTCAGTACATGTGATGACAGTAAATCAATCAATCACTGCATTTGACCAGTGCCTTAAACTGCAATGGCTGCCTGGATTTTGTAGTCCCAACATCAGCAAACAGTGAGAATTTTGCCACAATTGAGGGTTGTAACAGAACATCAAATTATGCGAAGCCAACTTGTGCTGGAACTTGGAAGTTATTGTTTCCCAGAAACCCATGTTGCTGGTTCTCTCAGTGGGTAAACTTTGCTTGATTCTTCCTTAAATGTACTTCTAGTTACTCTGATTAATTTAGACCTACTCTTAGCAGCTGTTGTATTCCTCCTGATTTAAAAGGGGTACCAAAGCATTAATACAACTGTTTGGAACACCCTTCAGTTCCTTAG